TTCACAATTTTTTGTTAAAAATTAGTATTAAATAAATATTAGTTACATCTAAAATCCACTTTTTTTGCAACAGTATTGCAACAACGATGCTATTGATGGAATGGATATATAATTTTCTTATGTTATTATTTATGAAGAGTTAGTGAAAATTAATTATTTTTAACAAAAAACTATGTTGCGTTACTATGCACTGTCATAATGTGTCAATTAAATTCCATATATACTAACGGTCTCAACGAAAAGAAGCACCATACGTTTTTGCAGTTTAATTTAAAATTGAGAAATCTAAATGGTGCTACTTATCGTCGAGACCATCGACATACATCATCTCATAATATACATAAATTGACAAGTATTGTAATTAACACTAAAAGTTATTTGAACAAGTTACACTCACCATAGAGAGACTACAATTAAAGGAAACTGTAGTTAAAAAAATTTTTTAACGCAAATACAATAAACGAATTAAGACATTTGGTTACAAAATACCAATATGCTTAAATTATTATGCTTGTTTGATGTTCAAGATATTTTTATAGTATTAACGGATACAAATTTTTTTGTCGATTTCAAGAGGTTTTCATTAAAACTTTTTTAGTTTTCTGATGAGTGGTGGCTTCATAGTCACAGCTTCTTTAATTGTAAATGCTCATTTCTTATAAACTTATATAATTATAACGTCATTAAACAATAAGTTAGATGTAGGTTAACTTATATAATAAATAATAAACAGGTAAATAGCACTTTTAAATATGTTCTTAACACAATTCTTGCAAGGACATTTTGACTACATTTTAACTAAAACATAAACTAGTCATAAGTTCTTTTTAATTCAAGTCATTTTATGACTCTCAACTACATTCAAAGCCAGACTAAAAATTCCTGTAGAAAATTAATTAAAGAGCTTATTACACAATTCTAAAATTGAAAATTTCTTAAACAAATTATTTGTGAAAATTTAATACTGAAAATTTAATACTGAACTTGTATTTAAAAGGTAAGACTAAAGGGAGGACTAAAAAATCTGTTATCATTTGAGCAAAGTTATTCGACAGTGACATTGATAAAAGTGCTTGAATAAACAATTTCATGAGAGCTGATCGAAGGCTTATGCATTAAAAATGATAGGAACAAGACTAGTTACACTAAATCACTGGTGAATTTAAAAAATGATGTAAGTATGCATATCTTGGTAGAAAACATATAGGATTGTACAAGGTAAAGCAGTACCTATTATAAAAATCTTGGCCTAGGAAAACAAGCCAAATAAATACATACACATTTACTATGACAGTTCATGTGCTTGCATGATGGTAACCTGTAAACCATGAGCTGGTTTCTCAGACTTAGTACTTGAATCAAATATTGACTTTATCATGAGTTAAACATTTTTAATTATAACACTTCTAAAAAATTTATTCTTTATAAACTATGTTATTGATTCGCCACATGCAATTTAACTTTAACTTCGGTATGGGATAGATTTTACTGTTTATATCCAATTTCTATCAACGAAATGAGCAGCATTCGTCAAATTTTACATATTTACTAACGTTAATTAACTTGTTATTGGAAGTTAAAGGAAACCATGAAAAAATTACATTTTCTATAAAGCCAAAGCTACCTGGGCTTTTGACACGTTTCGCATACGTTCCGCACAAGGAAGTAACGTGTTCAACACTTGTGTAGACTGCCTAAACATCTCTGGGTTTACTTACTTTCATTTCAAGTTTATTAATTGCTAATATGTTTAATATCAATACTACTTTGTCTACGAGTCAATACTACGAGGCAACTGCCACAGAGTATTGTAACCAATAGCGTGCGTCTTACGGCCCAGCACGGCCACCAATCACTGTGCTTCAAGCGACCGCATCCGCTCTGCACAATCTGTGTGCTGCCGTCGTGCATTACTCTGTGTCGCCCGCCCCCTTAAAGCCTCACCTCTCGCGACCTTTATCACCGAGGTGCATTTTCAAGGAGAGACCCCCCCTTCGATCTTGTTCGTTTCTTCTCTTCTAGCATGCCATTATAAGTCCTTATAAATCTGAATCACCCCTAGCGAGCGCTGTGCAAACGAAAAGTTTTCCTTTTTTTCTGACGCAAAACTCTAATACTGAAATTTAATTGTAATTTGGTTATAAGTCAAATTAGTTAAATACAATTTTTGTTGTTGTTTTTTAAGTGCTGTGTCAAGAGTGTATTATTTTTTTGTAGTGATATTATTTTACTATCTTACCTTTCCCGTACTGATCTTCTCAAGAATTATACAGTTCAATCCGAAACAATTTCTGCTTTTCAAGGCTAAATTGTAATAAAATCATTTGGAAATAATATGTTAATCTTTATTTTAATAGAATAGTGTAATAACATATATGTTAAAGATCTTACACTTCTATAAAAATAATAAAAATATACTCATGAAAGGAAACTGTTGAGATTCAAAAATTTCGCGTGCTCTCGTTATAGAGACTATGGCTGAGGTCTAAGCTTTTTCGTATCTTGGCTAAATACATTTTTAGAGATATTTCATACACACACGTGCGCGTGCACAGAGAAAGAGAGGCAAAGAAGTGCTATAAAACCTTTACTTTCGGCTTTAGCGAAGAAATCAAGACACGTTTTAAGACCGTTCAAGTGTTGCAGTGACACTATTGGTTAATAAGAAGAATGTGAAAGTTTTTTTCAACATGAAAGTTTTAATAGATAAAAGTAGATAATGCAATTAGCAATATATCGATAAAATACATAATTTTTTATCTTGAAATTAGACACAGATAATTAAATACCAGTTAAAAAATGATATTTTAAATGAATTTTGTTTTATCAGTGATGTAATCTGCAAACAAAAATTTTTAAACTGCCTGTTGAACTAAATTTATCTTGTGTAGTGTAAATGCAAATTTTTTGGTTAGTTTAATTGGAAACAAAAAAATGTTCACTTAACTACAGACGGTATATCAGTATATGTTAAAGGTAGCTCTTACAGTAGGTAGGATAGGTCGTTGATTATTATGGAACAGATTAAAAGTTATTTTAATGACAAACTGTAAATCTTCATGAATGTATGTGTAAATAAGTAATAAGATTTTAGGAATGGTGTTGGCTCAGTGGTAAGCGTACTCGCCACTCACACAACACCGTTCTAGTGGGTCGTGGGTTCAATACCCGATGAATGCAGATTTTTTCAAAAACTTTATTGGAAAAAGTTCCTACAGAGCCCCAGCTGCTTCGAAGCAGGTTTTTTTGAAAAATTTTCCTTCAGAGTGATTCCAGTGATTTTTCTCCTGCCCTGCAGGACTTCGGGTCTGGGTAAATACAAAACAATGTTAGGAGTAAAGGTAGAGATTAGCGGATCCGATGCCAGTCACCAGGCAGGGAGCGCCAGCCTTACCACCGAGGTAAGGTCCCTAAAACATGGAGCTTCTCCGGGAATTGGGATCGGCAACCTCGCGGTCGCGCCATCAGTTGGCGAGTTTGCAAGCAGCGATAAAAGGCTTTTTGTCAGGCTCAAAACTCCATTGGTGCTCTTAAATGTAATGAATTTATTCTTTATCAAGATTAATTAAATATTTTGACGGTGTATGTCATAGATAGGTTAATTAAAAGCGTATCTTGAATAGCACTGTAACATCGCTGGCAAAGTAACTGACTTGCCAGATTTTATTCCTCACAAATTTTGTAATGCTTATACTAGTATACACTCAATAGGGACTTGGTCGTTAATTAAAAAAAATACACATTATACTTATTAGTAAAGCAAAAAGGCTTATTTTAATATCGTAAGATTTTGTTCAAAAACAGCTGGTATTGAAAATGAGCCTCTAAAAATTGTTGGAAGAATTCATGAGAGTGGTCAAATTTTTACCCTTGACCATGTACAGTGGATGCCGTTTAATTCATTGAGCGGGAAGTATAAAATTGACCAATGAAAGAGGTTATATTATCGAATCAGCCAATAGGAATTAAATGCTTGAATTTCCCGCTCAACGAATTAAATGTCCTCCACCGTACTTTCAATGTTGGATTAAGTGAAAATTGCAAACATACTGAGACAGCTTTGTTAATTTGCAACAGATAGATGTAATATAATTTAATATATATTTTTATGAACTAACTACACAGTCCCAATAGAGTGTATATACCAATGTAAACGTGGCAAAATTTGTGAGGAATAAAAACTGGCGAGTCAGTTGCTTTGTCAGCAATGTTACAGGGCTGTTCAAAATACACTTTTAATTATCCTACCTATTACATACACTGTCCTAACAATTAATAATTCTTGATAATGAGTAAGTTCATTACACTTGGGAGTACTGATTCAGTTTTAAGCCTGCCAAAAAGCCTTCTCCCGCTGCTTGAAAACTCGCTAATAGATGGCACGACCGCTAGGTTGCTGATTCCAATAGTTATTAGCTTGGATCCGATACTTCGGCAGAGAGCCCCAGCGAGGGGTGCACGATCCTGAGATATGAGAGATATGAGAGATATGAGATCCTCTTCGGGGAAAGGCTACACAGTGATGAGTGGACCTGATGCACCAGTGATGCAGAGAGTACCAGTTTAACTGGCAAGGTGTTTCACCGGAGATATTCTTAGGATGCTCATGGTACGTATTATAGATATGACATCAGTTAGGCGATTGATAAATAGGTGAAGCAAAACACCCTCACACATAAGTGGTAAGTGGGTGGCCTCGGTGACTAGGCGGATAACCGGTAAAAAAAATCTGTAATCGTGAAGATAAATTTTTATATTTCATGATTAAAATTTATATTGAACGATAACATACGTCTCATTTTGTGAACGTTACATCATTACATGTTACCGATCAAATAATCGACAACAACTGCTCCAGAAGCATGAAAACAATTAATGAAGCAACATACGGTAACTAACTTCTAAGACTAAAATTTTAAGTATGATTTGTAGAATTCAATGAGAAAATCAATAGAGCAACTAATAAATAACAACTTTTTAATGAATTACAACATACTTACTAATTCGGAAATCTACATTTTGGAATTTGATCTCCAGCGAAACCAGCCTTAACTACACCAGATCCCTGCAAAAAAATTATAAGTATGATTTAATATAGCAGCACAAGGTAGTTAAATTTTTATTAATACTAAGGATTCATGCGTACGCGTGTTTTTTTAATAACTCTGCTCATTATATCGAAATAAGTTTAAAGTCAACTTTGACAAATAATAATCATGCAAATAAGTAAATAACATTCATATCTTATAAAAGATTAGTTACTTCTTGAGACTTGGATATAACTTTTATTGAAAATATCATAGGGAAGATGATTACACCATCCGTTTTAACTTGAGTTACATATTTTAGAAGCAATTAAAAAGTTCCTAGCATTATAAACTAATGAATTCTGTTTTCAAGTAGACGTATGAAAAAGTAGTACTTTCTCAATTTGTTTATAATAGCCACTCAAAAAACACCGTAATGTAGGGAAAAGTAGGGTTTAAGAAGCACCTTTATTTTGTTTGGTGATGTAAAAATAAAATTGAGACTTAATGTTTGTAAGAAATGATATCATTACCACTCATAAATTGATACATCAAAACTAGCAGATGAACTAGTAAGGTATTTAATAACTAGCTACAAAACTGACCTACCAAAAAATTAGTTGCAAGTCAGGAAACCAATAAGATTCCTGCTCCAAATGAAGTGAGGATGCCGAAACCGTTTAATCCGTTGTAAACGTTATAGATAACTCTATATTGTCTACTAAAACTTGTCTTAATCACTTCACCATTTAACCATTCATAAATTTTTTTTTTTTTTTTTTTACAGCTGAGTGCTGATACGGTAAGTTTAATATTCAGGTAATTCAGTTTGTTCAACACGTTTTCGACTCTTTCGACTGACCCAATTCAATAAATTTTCATTATTAATCATAAAGCTGTTGGATGTAAAATAACGAGAAGATTTAGTTTACTCTTTTATGATGACAGGTCTTAATTTGTAAAAGATTACGCTAAATTTTTGCTTGATGATTCCTTAAAGTTTCAGTTCACGGGTTAGGGTAGATGTCCTAATTACTGCGCAAGTACCAAATACTGCGGACTCGTCAGTGATACAAAATAAAAAAAACCGAGAGAAAAATTTGTGTGCTCAGACACGTTTGGATATTAATAATGTTCAATTCAGAAGCATACTTTACATCATAAAATAAATAATCGTTCAACTAAATAATTTTTAACGAATCTAACTACAAAACTTGTTACCATTCGCAGTGATTGTGTCTGGGCATTACCATGAAAAACTTATGGGAGATACCCACACAGTAATTGAGTGCTCAGTAACTAATTCTAATTTTGTAACTGTATACAGTAATAGAAGCAAGTGATTTCAACACTGCAATAATTGTTTTAAAAAAAATAAATAAAACAGTAAAAAAACATTTTTTGTTTTAGTTGCAAAAATGCGGCAGATGACGATAAAATAAAATTACTTTGATTTACATCAAAACACATACAGAAATAAATAATTTAGCCCAGTCAAAAATTTAAGTGCACAGTAATTGGGTTATTTATCCCTATTCTAATCAACAAAACTACTAAATTTTTCAAAGAATTTTTTTGATATAAACTAAAAATTTTTATTAAACGTTGAATTCTCTGAAATTATGTATACGTATCATTAAAGTAGTAAAACCCCTAAATACAAATTGTAATAACTCAATACAATTCTTTGCTAATTTCATAAAATAATTCTAAAAAAAAATTTTACCGAAAGTAGG